CCCCACATTCCCCCCCCCCTTTGAAAGCCATTCCCCTCCCCTCTGCTGCCTCCTGCTGCAAGAGAGAGCGCAGAAAAGAGAGGAGCAGCAGCAGCAGCAGCCCCAGCCACAAGGGGCTCAATGGCGGGGGAGGACCAGCTAAGAGAGCCGCTGGGGAAGCCAGTTTCTGTGTGCCCTGTTCGTCAGCCTGCCAGCACCATGGGGTGTGTGGTGTGGGATGCCCTCTGCTGGGGAGGGAGATCGAGAGGGGTCCAGCCAGGCTACATGGTTGCCTTACCCCCCTCCATGGGCGTTAAACAGGAATGTGGTGAAAGGCTCTTCATGGGCCTCTTGCTGGCAGCATCATGGTGTGTGTGTGTGTGTGGGATGCCCTTTGCAGGGGGAGGGGGGAAGGCCGGTACATGGTTGCCTTTCCCCCCCTCCATGGGGGCCTTTAAACAGAGCACAGTGAGAGGCTCTTCATGGATCCAGCAATGCACAAAAAGAAAAAGAAATCTACTTAGCATTGTATCCCTTTCCCCACACTATTTTCTCCTGCTTCCTCGTCTCCTTCCTACCCACCAACCAACCTACTTTTTATCTCTCCTCCATCTTCAGTTATTTCATTTATACCCCACCTTTCTCCACAACAGGGCCCAAACCAGCTTACATAATTTCCCTCCCCTCCACTGTATCCTCACAACAAGACTGGGACATAGGTTAGGCTGAGAATGTGTAACAGGCCCAAGGTCACCCAGTGAACTTCTAAGGCAAAATGATTTGAACCTAGCTCTCCCTAGCCTGAAACTCTAACTCACGACACCACACAAATCAGGTGGCTGTTGGTGGGCCTAGTCCTGATGACCAGTTCCTCAAAAACCAAAACAGCTCTGGAAACAGCATGGCCCTTCACCACTTCCTTTTACTAACAGAAACTAAAACTGGAAGGGTGGCAATACAGTTATGGTCGCCTAGTAACAGCCATCAAGGGCATTCAATTCTTAAAGCTACAGGTACTGCTTCTATTAGCTTCCAATGATATTTTTAAGATTTCAGATCGAAGGTGTTTTTCAGGTTTATAAAAATATGTGTCTTGTCCGTTCATGATTCCAGTCTTTGAATTTAAGTATCCACAGATCTGGTTACTCTAAGAATGAGACATATTGATGTACAAACCTGCAGTGATCAACGAAACAAAATGGTTAAAACAAAAAAAAAGTCCACAAAGAAGAATCAATAGCTGGCCAGAATGATGCTTAGGATTTTAGTCTACATGAGGCTTCATACCTGATCAGATTTCGAACATCATTTGTGCTGGCTAGTGCTTCAAGGATTTTGAGCTTTTCTGCTTCAGAAACCAAAGAGGAATACATTTTCAAAAGGAAGTGCCAGCCAATTTCAGTTTTTGCTCCAGCTGTGAATATGATCTTCATAACATCTGTTGGCAGACTACACAGGGAGAACAAACCTTTATGAGAAGAGTTTAAAGAGAACAGCCACTTCAAAGCATTTTAGCTAAAACTGCCCTAAGTGATAACCTCTCTTAAACAAAGCCCTTAACCTGAGAGAAGAATTTGTAGGTCACAGAAATTAATATCAGAAGACCGATCAGATACAAAGGTAACTAGGAAGCAGAGCTATATAGCATTAAAGTTATACTTTACTTTGGAGGGAAACAGCCCAACATTAAATGCACAGTGGGTCTGGAACAACAACAGCTACCTCACATGTCATGGGGAGCCACTTCTATTAATTTTTTTTTTTTTTAAGTATCTGGGTTCATGGCTCATATCTCCAAGTGAGATCTAAAGGACAGGAGTCCCGTACCTTTAAGAGTTGTGGGGAAAAAAAAGTGGTGGTTTAAGCAATGGCAGCTTTTCTCAATTCCACATAAGCAGGAGCACACATAATTCCTTTGTCAGTACAACTATCAAAGATACAGGAGGGTCCAGTATTGTGGCCACTGAAAGTTTTTGTTTGGTTTACTTCAAAGGACAAAAAAAAAAACCCGGCAATGCCATTAGTGTGACCCACTTTAGATCTGAAACCAACCATTTCTAGGTCCTGAACTGCTGGTTGAAGACCAAAATGTAATCACATATATTGCCGTTTCGTGAAAAGCCTGCACCTGTTCGCTTCTTGCCCACGTTACACTGACCAAGAGCGACTGCCACCATGTGTACAATTCAAGTCTTGGCATGTCACCATAAGTACTGTTTGAGAGCAGCTACCAGTTGGCAGCAGATGCTCAGTGCCACTTGACACAGGCAGTGAGCCAACTGATGAGTGTACTAAATAACTGCATCTATGACACTAATCATTGAAATACTGGATGGGCAGCCTGATATTAATCTTTATTGTACTGCTGTGCCGTAAACATAGGCTTCCACTTCAGCAGCATCCAGTACACTGCAAGCAGAGCTGAACACTCCCACCATGTTCACATCTAAAAGCAAGGGCACCATAACCTTGCTATGACTTCTGTCCAGCGTAAAGCTCCACTAGGAGTAGATGTCCCAAGATGCCTCATTTTAGGAAGGCCCCTCTGTGTGCTCTTCTGCTGAAGCAACAAGAAGTGCTCCTGTGCTCTCAAGTGGCACTACCAGTTCCTTGAACCCGCTCTTGTGCTCTACACTTAAAAATGCAGTTCTGTGCTCTGTGCCCTCATTCTCACAAAATCAGTATGTATGCCTACAATGATCTGCTTTAGGTTGACCTATTGACTACAGTGGGATTTATTCCCAAGTATGTGAACAGTACCCACTTTGCAAGTCTAATTCAGATGTTAACAGTCACATTTATTAACTGCATGATGAAAAGCATGATAAAATATTTGTCACTTGAAGACATCAAGACAAGCATTTCCACATCCAATGCAGTGATAACTGCAGTATCAATATAAAACTAGTGAAACAGCCTTGTTCTGGTAGTGGTCAAGTAACAGGGAAATATTTTCTTGATGCCATGGTAAAGTGGATGCTTTATTCAAAAAACACACATCTATGTTTTACTTTTTGGTGCCACTGGAGTTCATCCACTCATTAAACAGCACTGTGGCAGTGGTGCTGCAGTTTCCTATGTTATGGGAACAGGCAAAAGTTAGCAGACTTGATTGCAGCTCTTGTTCTGAGAGGCTCCCTTTGTTTGTCCATGTTTGTTTCTTAATATTTTCTCCAAGCATGTTTTCCACCTTGTTCTAGGAAAGCACAAAGGAAAAACACCACTGAATGATAGCAAAACCCCCATTGCAATTACAAGGATGCTTTTGTAAACCCCCTAAATACTTTAAAATACCCAAGATTTCCTAGTCGTCTACCACTCACATGTACAATCCTTGGGGCTCTTCAAGTACTTCTTCCCTCCAGAAGAATGGGCTGAAGAGCATTTGCCCATTGTTACATTCACTCTGAATTTCAACTGGTATCAATATGCTAATTCAAACATCTGGCACATATACTTGAGTTCATACAAAACTATTTGGACAAGCATTCCAAGATGCTTAGCCCAATCCTACTTTCCAAGGGCAAAAAATAAGACTACACCAGCACTGTCATGAACTGGGAGAGTGTTAAGATTTGCTGAAGATTCCTCACTATCAAAGTTTAGTACACTGAAAGTGTTCTAAAAGCTTGAAATCCATCTAGGGTAGCTTATTCTATGAACCTGAAGTATTAGGGACGAAGTTGCAAGCAGATGGCTTTTGCATCTACTGAGAAACTGCCACACACTTCGAAGTGGCAAAATTTACTAACTTAGATATCTTTTATACATATAACTTTTCTTGTTATGAAATTAGAGTTGATGCCAGAGTAGGATAGGATGCTTCTACTATACAGTAGTAACTCTTTAAACATGAATAGTTAGTATTTGCCTAGTGTCCAAGGACATACCACTATTTTGGTAGCAAGAGTTTGCAATCCCCTCTTTTCAACTAAGTTGTAGATATGATTCACTTGATTCAATGCTTCTGTGATTGGAGCAGTGCTGTTTTCTTTCACTAGGTACTCAATCAGATCAAAGGTCCTGTTCAGTGATACCAGTCCTAAACTAAAACAACATGAAAAAGGGGGTCAAGCATTCTGATTAATCTCCAGTCCTCAGTACCAATAAGAGATGTTTAACTTTCAATATCTTTGCATTCATGTTCTGATAGGATGTTACAGTATAAAAACAAATGAATTTTGTGCTTAGCTCTTTTGCAACACGATGTTAGTGGCATACTTTTTTCTGAATTGAAATGGATAAAATATTAATTTCAAGATTTCCCTACAGAGGATTGCTCTCAGAAGCAAATTGCCTGATATTGCAAAAGACATTATACAGGAACAAATATAGGAAAGAAATTGCCTGACTGCCTGTTTTTAAAATCATGGTAATTCTTCTTATATATTTTCCTTAGTATTTTTAAGAATAAGTTTTATGCTTGCCCTGTCACTCTTTGCTAGAAAATAGCTTTGCTTTTCTTGGAAGCAAAATTTTCAGTGGAACTGTTTTGATGAGGCCCCAAGTGCTGTTAAGATCTACCAATCACAAACTTTATAGACATGGCGTAAAGGACATAGAGTCTACAAGTACATTGTAATTTAAGATGATGTATGAGTATAGTATCCACTCTGTTAGATGCTTTCTATTCTGTTTCTTATGTCTCTTCTGTTTGTTTTTCTGTAGTATCTTTCTATGAAACTAATAAAATCTGTTTATATATAAAAAAAGATCTACCAATCACAGTTCTACATCCCTTACAGACTATCATTTGCTTCCAGGCGGCTCTGAACTAAATCTTTTGCTGTTCCCTTTGCTCATATTACTGTTTACTCTTCTAGTGAATCTGACAGGCTAGTCCTTATATGTGGGCAAGATGAGGTACTTTTATTTTAAAAAAGCCTTTGTGGGTTAACAAGATTGTTTGAATTGGACTTAGCAGACATAAATAGAGAAGGCTAAATGGACCAAGATGCTCACTCATGTTTGTTTCACTGCTTACAGAAGATTAATTTGAAACAAAACTGTTCTTGCAGAAATCAGCATCTGTTTACTACAGTTCTCTTGTCTTCATCAATAAAAGTAGCATTGTTCGAAACTCTCTACAGGGGCATCTTACATCTTCAGTTATCACAGTCAATTGGTTTCTTCAAGTATTCAATTTCTAAAGGAATTAGCCATCTATATTATTCTAATTGCTTCTTAGATAAAAGATCCAGACAAATTTGATTGATGACAACCAGAATCCCACTTTTTTGGGGGAAGGGTCACAATAATGTGACATCTTTTGTCCAATGTCTCCTTTGTGATTATTTCCCAAGGAAATAACATACAACTACAACAACAGATTCCGAAAGCTCAAGCCAGGGCTCAAGTCCTCCAGTGGACCTTCTGAAGGAATTCACATAAATCTATGCAATGGCCATTAAGGCCACCACAAAGTATCTCTTAATAATAATACTTGGCATGGTTAATTGATCATACTGACTCTAAAGTAACACATGTCACCATAACAATTTGACATTACATTTCTCTTTAGTATGTTTTTTCAAAGTCTGATTACCACCTCTCTGCTGCCCATGTACACAGATCTATGTTCTGCAAGACAAGTGAACAGCTGTAGTAATAACCATGATTTTAAAAATTACCCTGCTAGATTGAAAATGTTCTGGATCAGATTAGCTCTGTCACTGGATGTCAGAGCAGTGGGATCTTCCTTCAGCAACTGAATCAAAACCTTCCAACCATCATCGTCATATTGCACAATATAGTAGCCATTCGATTCTACGTTGAACTTGACCCAGCTCACTTTATCTGGAAGTGTAATAATATCTACGGAGAAAGGGAAATAAACAACACATCAATTTGCTTCAGTCTTCCAACATCACTGAAAGCTTTTGAGTGTTCATAAGTGCATGAATTCTTCACCAGAATCATCCCAGAAGCCATTGTCTTCCTAGTTTTACAAAAGACCTGGTTAAGCTACAGGATCTTACTTGGATGCAGCTATCAGCCATAGCCAAGAAAACAATTCAACACCTCAGGGTATCATACATAACTGGAAGCTGTCTTGTACAGATGAGTGGCTTTGAGTAGCTTTTCTGCAGGACGTTTCAGTCCCAAAGTGGCAATTCAGCTACACAAACTACTAAGGCTGCCCTTCCACCTACCATCATCTGAATCAGCCATATTACAGGGAGGGAGCACATGACTAAAGCCCTATGTTTACGTGTAAACTGCTGAAGGTTAAATTTTGGCAGTAAGCTTGTCTGATTACCACAATTAATGCTATGATGATGTTCTGTGCTATTAGGCAGCACAGAAAAGACCTTTGGGCATAAGATTATTTCTCTACCTAGGACTCTATTTTATTTATTTGCCAAATGGGCTAGAGGAAACCAAAATGTAAGAAGTTCAGCACACTTGATGGGAAGATTAATCCACTGAATCCATTCTTCCATTTCACTTCACAGTAGATAAAATGAAAAAATCCCATCCTAGCATGAAGCTTTCCAAAGTTAATACCGCTACCAAAATATGTTTCATGGCCAGCTTAATTATCAGCAAAACACACCCCACCCTTTTTTGCATGCTTTCCCCAGATCTGTTTGGGGTAGTTTTGTTTAAGTCTTTTCTCCTTAAAAATGATCTATTGCTTTTCATTAACATATTTAACATCTCAACTATGTAGCAGCCTAAATTTTGGCAGTAGCAGCATATGTACTTTTTAATGCACACTGCTTTCATCTTCTCAGGAGCAGTTTTCAATTATAAAAATGTATCTGTCCTGAAGTGAATTACTTACATCTCCATAGCTGGCACTATTGCCCCATTCTTTCATATAGAGAGGAGCCAGGTTACAAAAAACTCTCTGTTACAAACTCTCTTTTCACTCCTACCGTGAAGCAGTGTTGATGTGTCCAAGCACATACCTCCAGGCAAACAGAAGGATTATATAGACTACACATCAAAAGGAAGACATGGAACTATTCATCTCAAAAAGATGAACAAAACAAGAACAGCTCACTAAACAGTTATGAATCATAGCAGTCCCTTTATTCTTAAAGTATTTCCAACAAAACAGCATCATTAGTCAACTGGATGGACTAGCTGTATTTTCAGATCACAAGGTGGTAAAAGTCCATCTGTACTGAAGAAATTGGAAATGAACCCAATTAAAAATATAAAAAGCTGCACTATTGAAAACTAAGGTTTCTTTTCCAGCACCCACCATGCCAAGTCATTAGGAGATATACTGACCGGGGGGGGGGGGGGGAATCAGCTTTCTTGTTCTATAATTTAATAACTCATATACTCATTCGTAGGAACAGCCAAGTCAGTAATACATATTGCTGGGCCAATAGGAAAATACCACACAAAACAAGAGCATCTGGAACTCAGAACAGAATACTAGCAACACTATATCCAATTTAAAAGCCCAATTATTTAAAACTCTGTTTTTAACTAAAAAATCATTAAAAATTTATTAGTGGGATGCCTGGGAGAAAGGTGGTATATAAATATTTTAAATGGTGGTGGTGGTGAAAAATGCCATCAAGTCACAGCTGACATAGAGACCCCCATAGGGTTTCAAGGTAAGAGATGGACATGTGGTTTGCCATTGCCTGCCTCTGTGCTGTAACGCTGGACTTCCTTCGTGGTCTCCCATCCAAGCACTAACTAGGGGCAACCCTGCTTAGCTTGAGAGCTGACAAGATCAGGGTAGCCTGGGTTATCCATGTTAGGACATATATTTTAAATACCTATCTCCCTTATATATAAAAGCCGAATGGTGGTGGCACTTCTCTAGAACATTCCACATGCTCCGGAATTGGTTGGTGCCCTGGTGTGTCACTCAGAATCTGTCCCAATCCACTGGCTGCTTTGCCTGAGTCCTGCCTCATTTTGCTGTTCCTCTCCCCCCCATAGCCAGTCAGAACACAGAGGTTATTTGCATATGCAGCCTCATTGGCCTTTGCCTTGGAACACAGAGGTTGTTTGCATATGCGACTTGATTGGCTTTTGCCTCTAACATTCTAAACAGTTTGCTGTTCTGAGGTAAAATGTGTCCAATCTCCAGGTGAGGGCTGGAGATCACTCAGAATTACAACTGCTTTCCAGATGGCAGAGATCAGTTCCCCTGGAGAAAATGGTGAGCTCTGTATCCTTATATGCTGCTGACGTGGCCCCCGTATGACAGCCAATGTGACATAGCAGTCAGGGCTTCAGAGCACGGGAGAGGCTGCAGGTGGTGTGGGGGTGGAAAGCTGAAGAGTGAGGGGGAAATAAAGGTAGGTTGATGATTGGCTGGTAAGGAGATAGGGTTGCCAACTCCAGGTGGGAAATTCTTGGAGATTTGAGGGATGGAGCCTGGAGAGGGTGAGGTTTCAGGAGGCGTGGGACCTCAGACAGGCACAAAGCCATAGACTCCACCCTCCAAATCAGCCATTCCCTTCTGGGGAGCCATCGTTGCCAATCTCCAGGTGAGGGCTAGAGATCACTCAAAATTACAACTGTTCTTTAGGTAGCAGAGATCAGTTCCCATGGAGAAAATGCTGGATTCAGTGTCATTATACCCTGCTGAGGTTGCCACAGCAAATTGACACTGAGCGTCCAAGGCCAGGGCACCCGCCCAGAGCCTCTTTCTAGAGGCCATTGTATTTATTTCTACAACGGACCTTTTTCCTAGTAAATTAATAAATCATAGGAATTGAAATATTGATTTCCCAGCTCTGTCCACACACCAAAGTGTGAAGCAAGGCATGTAACAACTAGAGATGTGACGCCCCCCCTATGAAAAAAGCCTCTGAAATACTTTCTCTTTTAGAATAAATAAAATGCTTCTTAAGGCAAGGTTTTTAATAGTTAAAATGTACACTGTGAAAAAGTCTGAGGATTGTTTCAATTTCTTCAATGGAAAAATTGAGAAATTTGGGTGACCACTGGAAGAAAAAATCTCTTATATGGTAGACAGATATAATTTCAAGAATTGTGTTTACATGTAAAAACCTGTCAACAATTAATATGCTATAATATATTTAATTATAATACATGAAAGAGTTCAGTATTTTCAATGTTATAAAATTTAGCTTAATATCCAAGCATGCTACCTGTGGTAACTTTATGAGTTTCTGTTCAAATGCGTTTTCTTTTGTTTACTACAGAATTCACTTTCTACCTTCAGTGTTTTTTCCCCTACTTCTCAGATGGCAAAATTAAGAAACACATGTGCTGCAGTGACATAGGGGTGCAGCAGTTTGCTATTCTTTCTCAAGTATTGGGTATAATTGCAATTTTTCTTTTAAAAAATGAAAATAGCTATAACTTTAAATTCCATAAATATGTCAAATACTACAATTTGTAAAGTAAGCAATAATGCATCTTATGTTCAACCAGTAAAATAATTATAAGTTAGATAGGAAAGTAAATACTGCATATGTTTCGATTTTTCTCCGAACTGTCCTTCGAAAGAAAGAAAGAAAGAAAGAAAGAAAGAAAGAAAGGCAGGCAGGCAGGCAGGCACAGGTTTTTCCCGTGGCTTCAAAATTTCTGGAAATTTTACAGCTCTAGTTAACACAATAATACAACAGTAAAAACAAAATGTAAACAAAGAGTAAAGCCAGGACTGTAACTGGAGCCCCCACCTTCCAACACAATTTTGGTGCCCTAGAGATGCCAGCCAGAACACAAGTGGGTTGGAAGTGTTTTTTACTGGACTTGAAAGGCTGTCCCACAATACCACAGTAACCAGTTTCATATTGGGAAAGGCAGTACTTCCTGGTTTGAGACAAACATTTTGCCACCCCATAACCACTTTTCTGTTGGTTGTGTAGACCAATCCTTAGAACAAGTTCAAGGCAGTTTCCTTGTATCAATAAAAACTAAGGCCAGCCAATTGAATGAAATCCTAATGTGTATTAAACTCATCCCCACGTCAAATTAACCTCAGTCAACAAATACCCACAACAGTGTTTCTGAAACATGTTATGAACACTTTCCAGAAGGCTAATATACTAATAAGGGACAGCCAGTGAAAATACTTCACCTATATTTACTGTCTGGGCACATGGTAAACTCAAAAGGCATTCAACAGAACATACCTGACTTGTTGGCCAGTAAATGTGCCCAAGAAGAGAAGAAAGAACTGCCATTGCTGGTGGTGTAGGAAAGAGGTATATCCCACACAGGACTAAAGGGAAAAAAGATCATTTATTGTTGAATTGTAGAACCTATATTATGTACAACTGTACTGACAATCTATTACTGTCTGCTAATATTTCAACCTTCTGCTGTTGGGCAGGTTTATATACATTAGGCCTCTAATAAAGGGTGCAATTACAAAAGTTAGCCCTATAACCCAGAGGCAAGCTATGTCATTACATTGTGGCTAGTGACACAAAGTGTTAACAATGCCCAGGGACATGATGATAGCAACTGTACAACTGATTTCTGCTCACAGATGGCTGCAAACAGGTATGTTCACAGAAGCAAGGCAGAAGTAAGCCAAGAGTGCCACAAAAGCTGAGCTCATGACAGGTGTATACAAAGCAGATTCCTACTTGTATGTTCTTGCTGAGCTTGTTTTAAAGTGTTACTACTGATATTCAACTACCAAGGTCAACACCAAAGCACAATAATGCAACATGTTTCAGCCACTTAGGTTTTTAATTTCTTTTTTTTTGTAAGAAAAATGTTTCCCCTTCAATTCAATGCTTCAACACTCATAGTTCAGTTCTTTTTGTCTTTCTATTTTAACTGTAATCCCCTTTCTGCATAAACAGTGCCACCTCAGCTGGACACACTACAGACATAAAAGCAGACATTTGCACACATGTGCAGTGGAACAGATAACTATACACACATGTGCAGCTCCTTCCCTTTTAAACAGATAAGTAGGATTTTACACTTTTTAAAAAAGCATTCTGCATGTATTCTGTTGATCAGAGCATCTCCCTAGGCATTTGCTTTTGTATATTGATACTATGGACAGGTCAAAGAGATTTCTTCTCTGCAGAAGAGATCTCCAACTTCCCCTATTAAACCTAGAGAAAAAGAATCATGAGCTACTTGCCTTTGTTGCTTGCCACTTTGAAAGCACAAAATTGTATTTAATCCTTGATCTTTCAGTGAAATAAGCAGAAGAATTTTGTACTATAAAATAACCTCCTTCTGCCACCTGCTGGTATCACCCAGGTGAAACACATTCATCTAGAACTACAGTAAGATGTCAATATAAAAGTAAGGCAGGTATAAATTTTTCCCCTCAAAGTCTATGCAAAGAGCAGAAGGGTATTAGTGACCATCCCTATGTAGATGATGGAAATCTATCACCAAATCCTGGAATGCATTTGCCTGATCAGCTTAAAGCCCCATCTTCTCTCTATGCTGTCATTACCGCCCTATTCCTTATATTTTTAACCAGATCTGCTGCAGGTCTCCAAGCACACTCCCCTCTCCAAACTACCCATCCAGCTCCATCACATCCAGCTGTTCCCGCCCACCTTCCTAGGCAAATGCCTTTGAGTATGTGTTTCAGCACACGTAATAAATACATCTTGGTATTTAATGCTACATCTCAATCCATTTATTACTGTTTCTAGCAGAAAGCCTGGGACTGTTTCCCCCTGAAGACAAAGTGCAGTCAGCAGATAGACTTAAAACACTTGAATGAAAAAAGGATTAAAAAATAAACCTTGAATGTATTATCTGATTTTCTAATTCCACATTATGCATAAATCTCTCCTGTGTCAGAAAAATCTGTTTTCCTTTTGTTGAAACTCTCACTAAGGGAAATCCCTTCTGGTGAGTCCACGTTTCCATAAGCTTTTTAACATCCACTTCTCCATGTGTGACCTATGGGAGAAAAATCATTCAGATGTATCAAGAAACCTCACCCACACTTCTACCCCTAATTTAACTAATTTAGCCGAGCCGACAATAAGCCGAACTGGGAAAAGAACAGCAAGTCCCTCCACTGGGTGCCGGTAGGGCGGTCCCCACCCCTGACTATGTGTGGCCATAGATAGGGATAAAGAGTAACTGTAAGCCGCTCAGAGACCCCTTGGGGGGTTCGAGCGGGATACAAGCTGAAAGCATAAATAAATAAATAAATAAATAAACTAAAGAAAATGGTAGAACCAAAGAATTAGTTCCTTTTTCCCATTAAAGACTAACATTTTAAAGACTAAAAAAAAATTGCCACAGGACTCCAGTTATTTTTGGTGCAACTGACCAACATGGCTATCCCTCTGGAATTAACATCATGAAGAGCTCTTCATTAGGTATGAGTGTTCTGCTTGTTCATCTTCTCACACACATTAAAGTTAAATCATCAAAACACTGGTACAGGCAAGGAAGAAAGAGGCAATCTATGGGAAGAATTGGGCCTGACCCATCTGTGTTTCCTCCGTCTTCTCCTCTGAGTGGAGAAAGAGGTGAATTGTGCAGGCAGCTGCAGTGTACACATACGTCAAGCTGCAGCTCTTCAAACTTCATTATAAAAATTAACTAAGCCATTCAAAAATATGTCTGCATGAAAGGAGAAACTTGAATCTCAGTTGGGCATCTCTTTCCTAGATTTTGAACTCAGAAAGTTTTCAGTCTTTCAAGTCCCAGCTCTGTATTTAAAATTAGTATCAGAGGGTTATGAAGGAATGTGGAACCCGAGAAACAAGGACTTCAAGCCTTAGAAAACATATTCAAGGATGACTTCTTTTCACTTCAATCAAACATATTACCTAAGCCTGTGATGGTCAACATATGACATATTTCAAAAATTGGCTATGTGGAATGCAGCAGCAGGAAGTAGCATGATTCTTCTTCCTCTCCCCTACAGACGCCCCCAACTGTAGGACTCTGGTAGGAATGAATGACATGTACACAAACCTCTGCCCCAAGCTCCTCATCATTGCTGATTCAAAGAAGCTTGGAAACCTCTGTGCTCTCTCTCTCTTTCTTATATGCTATGACCTGCTGCAGTCAAGCTGAGCCAACACTTAAAGTGCAGTCAGTGAATCATGTCAGCAACTATTTTGCACTTCAAGATCCAGGACAGCAAATCATCTGTAAACCCACGCAGCCCATGGCAAGAGACACAAACACGCAGTGGATACATAAAACAGATAAATCTGTTGTGTTTTTGCAAGAGTTGAGGGTCACTTCAGAAACTCCAGTAAATAAAAAAGGGGGGGGGCTACAAATCCAATCAATGGTTTAGGACTAGTGCAGCGGAAGACCTGCCTTCTCTGATATGAAAAGGCCTGTTCAATCTTCACCTGCTACAGGCTTCCCTTCCTCTGTGTTTAGGAGGGAGGCAAATAGAGACAGATCCTTCTCTGTTCCAATGTTCCTTTTATCAAACACCCAAGCCAAAGTGATTCAGTACTTTTTTGTCCTTTAGAGATCAGGCTCAATTTTTTATTTTCCCATAACTGTTCTTAAATCCATTGAAGGTTATTTCAGATTGTATTCACTTTGTTTTCCTTAACATTTTATGCCTTTTTGTAAGCTGCCTTGGGTATTTATTTATTTTAAAGAAAGATGGTCTGTAAAACTTCTAATCAGTGTGGACCAATTGTCTTAAGTGAGACAGAAGGAGGATGGAGAGAACACAGTGTCTTTTCTAATTCAAGGGAAATCAAATTTTAGAATTTGAAAAATTTTGAGTTTTTTTTAAACGATAGTACTCTAATTGTGCAAAGTTTATTATTGATTGCTAATTATTATGAACTTAAATGCTGACTGGAATTTTTTATAACTTTACAAGGAACTGCTGCTGATAGGGGCAACAGATTTTACTCATGGCACAACTGCCAAAGAAGACTGGCTACTTAAGTAGTATAACTAATCAACCTTCCCCCAGTTCCCCTCCTCTGCTCAGGACATTTACCTCGGTCATGCTATCCCACAAGTCATCACTACGGGTAGAATTATAGCTGTGGTCATGCAAATAACTCTGAATGCCAGCTTTGAAGAAATCCTTACTGAGATAGTTCTTCAACATCAACAAGAGAGAAGCGCCCTGTATTGAGAAAAATGTGTTAGATATATACAGATTCATAGTCACATATGCATGCAAGTATTGAAGAATACTTTCATGAGCAAGAGTTTTGGCCCAGGAGAAAACTGCTTCTTTTAGTTTAAGGAATACAATACTTGTTTTGATAACGAACAGGGGAGAGAAGAGAATGTTTGTTTTTTTTAAAAAAAGAGACAGCTATGTTTGATTTAATTCTGATCTAATTACAGATTAGCAACCCTGAAATGTAAACCTATTGGAAAGTGTAACCCCTACAGATTTTGAGAAGATGGGTTCAGAATGAAGCCTGAAAAGTATCTCACTCTGACCTTGTACAAACAAAAAGACTGTCTGAGCATAGGAAACGTCAATGAATTCGTTTTCAGCTATATGTCCTAAAGCTATCCTTCAGGACTTGTGATCAGCATCAACAAGTATGCAGAAAGAAAAAAAGAAATTAGGTGTTAAATAATGATGATAGCAGGACAGAAGGAGGAAAGGTCCAGAGGAAGCATGTGGGATACTGTGTCTCTGCATCAACTATTTTTAAGGAATCTGTTTAGAATTCTGAAAAGACTTATAGTTAAGCATGCAGTGTCTAAGGAAAGTAGCCAGATAAAAGCTAGAACATAAAATTTTATCCTGAACACTACCCAAGATCTACTGTCTTCTAGCCGTAATGGGGAGGGGGGGGATGTGCAACTTCATAATATTCGCTTTATCCTAACACTAAAGACTAACAGCAACTGAAGTTCTTTGTGGCATCCATTGCATTTACTTATATTAGAGCAGATATATACAAACGCAACTTGCATACAAAATATGCTTTAAACTATGCTGTTTCAGCAGCTTCCAAAATCCAATCTGTGCAAGTTGGGCGTACTTTTCAAGATACCAAGGGTGGGGGGCTATAATGAGTCAAAACGTCCTATTTGTTAGCTACTGTATACAAGTACATCTAGCGCTGCTATTTTGTGTTCACCAGTGCTTCTAGATTCTGCAAACTGGGCTGGCTCTGAAGATCATGAGCAGCTAGGGGTTGCTGAAAAGGACACAGATAATGTGCCCCTGTTTTGTGATACCCCTCCTCCACATCAGCCACTCTGGGTAAGCAGGAAGTTTACCTCTGGCCATGCTAGCAGATGCAAGGGCAAAAGCTGCTTTAAACTGTTCCTTTAATCAGAACAACATGTGGTCTGGCCACAAATGATAGGGACTGATTGCAACTAGCGAGGGAGAAAATATCAGTTCACATACATCTGTTTCCTACACATCTATATGGGAATTTAAATCATTACTACATATACATATAGTCAAAATCTATTCAAATATCAATTTCCTTCTCTCTGTGTTTACAAATATTCAAGAGAGGACAGAAATCACTACGTTTACTTACAACTCTAGTTCTAGAGAAGTACAATGCTTCTTCTCACACTGAAAGCAAACTTCCAAATTGTCACAATTAGCCTCAAAATAACGAAAGAATTCCTTCTTTAAAGCTAAGATGGGATGATTGCAAAATAGAAATTAAAAAGCAAAGTTTTTTTTCCCTAAAGGAAAATTTTAATCAGATCTCTTTGTATAATGTAGACCAAGGTCCCCAACCTTGGGGGATCCACAGAGTTATCGTAAGGAGTGTGCAAATCAATATGCACACTAAGCATTATAATTGTGATCTTTTGCCAGTATGTTTTCTCTCAATCAACAGTACAACTTTTATCAATGGGGGGAGGTGCAATTTTTTTTTATGTTAAAAGGGGTCTTCATACTCAAAAAAGCTGGGGACCACTGATGTAAATGTAACATTTACCAATTGATTAAACCATAAACCAATCAAGGATCCCCCCCCCCCAATTTCAACATTAACAGGATGTAGCGCCAGTAGTTAATATTAATACTAAATATGGCTGGTTTTAAAGTTGGGTTTACAGCAGTGGTGGTTAGTGTCAACCTTGGTGCAGACATACTTGGTGCAGATATACCACGGCTAGGGCTAAAATGGAAGGGAGCAGGAATTCATATGGACATACAGAAGGAGTTGGATAGAGAATGAAAGCCCTTGGGGAACTGATCACTTGACCATGGCTAGGAGTTTAGAGTTCAAAGACAAGTAATGATGCTCATAGAAATATATTATATATAAACACATACAACACTTCAAGAAAATGTAATGCACATCATAAAGTCTCACAAACCACAGAATGATAATTCTTGAAAGAAACACTACCCTAAATAGTCCACAAGCACAAGCCCTCTAAGGGCTGTAAGAGTCCATAGAAAAAATAGTCCAGTATACCCCGACAGTATTGTACGTTATATTCATGCCATTTCGAAAAAATCCTTCATGAAAGCATATAATAAGTCAAGGTAGGTACAATGACCGTGCACCAATCAAAATTCTATATTGTATTAAGCAGAGTCCAAAGCCTCTTAACAAGTTCACAACCCAATGGTATCAAATCTAGCAGGCAAAAAGACTCCTGGCTGTCTGTATGCCATGGCTTCTATTTTCTTTCTTTCTTTTATGAGCCACCTCAAGCAAGTTTCTGGAGAAGCAGAAAGTGGAGTTTTTTGAATAAATTAAAAAAACCTGCACTGAGTTATGAATAGACTAACTTGATATTTAACTAACAATATGCATAGTTACAAAAACCTTTTCCTTAAAATATTTTTGAAGAATGCAGAAACACTTCTAAATTGAGGATTTAAAAAAAGTTTGGCCCTAATGTGCTGATTAAAAAGTGCTCATAAGGGGTACAAGCATTTTCCAGGCCACTTTACCTCAAAATACTTCCGCCCCTTTTAGCTCCTGACCTGTTGTTACTACCCATGCTAAGACCATGATTTGAAACAATTCTGTGAACTCTGTAATGCGTTTAATTTTATTAAAAGCAGATTTCCCAGACTTTTGAAGTTACCTTGCCATAGGAGACAGTGTCAAACATTTCGTCAATCTCTTCCTGAGACTGGACAGCAAGAGAGATGGGGTGAGAGGCATTCAGGGAATCCTTCACCATTGTCTTAAAACGCAGATTTAGAAAATCATCATTCTGAACAAAAGAAGGAAAGAAGTTTAAATTGACCCAAGCAGTTATTAATGCAAGGAATTTCATCTCTCGCTATGTATTCTTCTAATTATCCCTTCTAATTATCTAATTGGCTGGGGAGGGGTGGAATTTACTGTGTCTTCCCAGTCCTTTGCAATATGGATGCAATAGTATCTCAGAGACACAGGACATTTCTGAAGCTAAAAGGCTGCTATCTTTGTTGGCATCTCAAGAAATGCAATGCCTCACTGTTACTATGGTAACACTTTCAATTATTTAGAAGAGGAATTATAGTACTCAATTAGCATCAAAATCTATGGGTGCAGACTCAGAGAAACTCCCAAGAGCTGTATTCTAACACTCCATTCTCAGTCCATAGCCTGTAGGTACAGGCAGATCCAAGTCATCTTGTATCATGGAGCATCCAAACAACTAATTCTTCAAAGGTGGTTTGCCATTGCCTGCCTCTGCGTAGCAACCCTGGACTTCCTTGGTGGTCTCCCACCCAAGTACTAACCAGGGCAGAACCTGCTTAGCTTCTGAGATCAGAATAGCTTGGTCCATCCAGGTCAGGGAGCTTTCCTAACTATAACAGACAATCTGCAAAATACTTTGAGAGAAGAGAACTTGCAAAGCTTGTAAAGCAAAGGGAGAGAAAACAGGATGAAGTTTTGTACTTAAATTTGGGACTATATGTATAAAGTCACCCACTCCAACTGTCAGACAGTTTGGATAAATCAGTTCAATGAGGGAACCTATTATGGGGCTTAGATTATAGTTATATTGTTATTTTATATATAAACTTCCCTGGGCCTTGCTTTACTCAGGTCACATGCAATTCATTTTTGTCTGCGCCCAAAGGTTTTATACCACACAAGTTTGCTTACAAGGTTATACTATACAGGCTGAAGATATCAAACACAATGCCAAGGAAAGTTAGAGGTAAAAAGCTACAAGCAATAAAGAGTTAAATGACTAGCATGAGGGCTACAGCCTGAATATTTTAAACCATACAATATGGGAGGGGGTTTAGTTTCTAACAATTAGGCCACCAATGCTCACAAATCTGTCAGTGCAATTGATGTTTCTAGCTCATTCAGTACCTGAAGAATTTTTCATAAGCTTTATTCAGGAAGTACATTCCTTTTCTTCATCTTGGTACCCATCATTCCTGCATCTAGAAGCCTGAAGGTTGACTACTGCAGTGTACCTAAATGGCTATTAAACTAAGGTTGCCAGATCTGGGTTGGGAGACACCTTAAAATTCTGGGTGCGGGGCCTGAGGACGGTGGGGTTTGGGGAAGGGAGGGACTTTGATGGGGTAGAATGCCAAGAGTCCACCTTCCAAAGTGGCCATTTTCTCCAAGTGAACCGATCTCTGTCGCCTGGAGATCAGTTGTAATCCCAGGAGATTTCCAGCACCATGTGGAGGTTGGCAACACTATATTAAACTCTGTTTCTGACCACACACTCTGGCACAAATTTCTGAGCCACACTGTACAAGATTAGCCTCAAGTAGCCATGTTACATAACTGCTCTTCCTGTGTGTGGGAGGAAACTCCCCCCCCAAAAAAAAACCCTTACAAATTTGGTTTAAGACCAACAAAGTTTCAAAGTGTAAGCTTTTGTATGCAACTTACACTTAGAATAAAACTTTGTTGGTCTTAACGGTGCCACTGGACTCAAACTTTGTTCTGCTGCTTCAGACCAACACGGCTACCCCACCTAAACTTGAATTATGTTAAAGATGCTCTGTCCTCTGCTCCCTTAATTCTTTTAATTTAATAGAGCAATCTAGCACCACCAAGTGGTGAAATTTTATTTCTTCAGGTTAACCGCATATGTGCAAGGTTTTAAACAAAGCTCTTAATTAGGCCAGCATCCTGGTCAGGAGGTACATATGGGTAGTTGACGGCCAAGACACCAACTGCTTTCTGATCCCTCCCCCATATGTACCCACAGATGTGGTTCCTGTTGTTGTAATATAACACTGAAGGGGTGATGGATCCCCATCACATACACAGACCACAGGCTTCATGGTGTTTCTCCTTTATAAGCGTCAAAGCATCTGTGGGCTAATATGCCTCAATTCTCCCTTTTAGCACGTTCATCTTTTTGCCTGCTTGTCCTGTTTACAGAGGTCATAGCTGCTATGTTCTCAGCTGCAGGAAGGTATGCCCTGTTGTTGGCCATCCAGAGGAGCTGGCTGGCCACTATGTCAGACATGATGCTAGACTAGATGGACCACTGAACTGATCCAGCAGGGCTCTTCTTATGTTCTTATGTCTGCGGTAGAAAAGCAAGATTCAAGCCCAGTAGCACCTAAGAGGCCAAGAAGATTTTCAGGGTATGGGCTTTCAAGAGTCAAAGCTCCCTTCATCAGATCTCGAAGGTGCTACTCGACTCAAATTATTCTCTAAGCTCCAGAATTTGACAGCTTTAAATGCTAACAAAAATTTCAATTGCACTTTATTTCTTACTGACAGCCTGTATAAATGAAAAAATACCACCAGGGAGGTAAATACAAAGACAAGCATCAAAATTACAAGCCCTTCAAAAGAGGACACAGAAGTGTCTTCTTTGCAAAGCAAACTTTTACCAAATACTGCTCTGGCCTTTAAGTTTAAAGTCAAATAGTTACCAAATCCAAGATTTTTTCCCCTGTGCCTCCAATTGTATCTACTTACAGTAAACAAATCTGGGAAAATTTCAGACATGGCAAAGTATTCCATAAAAGTGGCAAATCCTTCATTCAGCCACAAGTCATTCCACCATTCCATAGTTACAAGATTGCCAAACCACTACAAATAGAAAAAAAGAACAATGCATTCCTATCAGTAGAGATACAGGGTGCAAGTAAGACTCCACAAAGCACTATTTTAGTGGTTCTTACATAGAGCAGGCAACAAAGGATTCTGAACAGTAAAAAGCAATTTATCATCTTAACAGGAAACCGAGCAGATTGCAGTCATGATGGGAGATAACAACCTACATTGCTCTAACTTCTGGGACAGCATATACCATACCAGTCCCTCAGCCAGCAAAACAACACTACAGATATGATGTCTTGGGCTAGTGGCTTCCTCTGCATTAATGCCAATTTAAAAAGTATTTTAAAAGCTTCTCATTAACTGTATAAGTGTTTCAATTAAAATAACAGATTATTCTTTGTTGTTACCCACCCCGGATCTTGACTGTGTTGGGAGAAAGGCTGAGCATACAAACGTTCTAAATAAATATGAACTGCATGAAGAAGCATATAGGCATGGCTATTCAGTTATTTCTAACCATAATTCTTAATAAAGTACTTAAGTGCAAAAACATGCACATGGAGAAAAAAAAATCACATTAACCCCAGAACTTGTCCACTGAACCCAACATGCATGGGCAAAATAGACAGTGTTGCACCCCGCCAGACTAAGCAGGGGTATTGCTTTCTTATCCCATTACATATGCAAACTCATTCTATCCTCACATATGTTTTCTCATCAAGTAGGGCTATACATCCCCTATATTTTGATGTTTTTCTTTTCTTTCTTTCTTTTTTGAAATAGTATATTATAATTGTGATTGTAATGCAATGCAGTATCTTGTTGGTCTCTGACATAATAACACTGTACCCCAGGAAAAGGATTCTGTCAGTTAACTCCATGTTTTAGTGAAACAAAATGTTATTACTGCTCTTAACAATTAAGAATGTAATTGAATATGTAATATAATTTGGAATGGTAGATTTAAATATAGTTCTCTGTTTTGGGGACAAGGAAAACACTCTGCACAGCCAAGATGCTGTAAAGTTCGCCTCCATGCTGGAAAGGATATGGATGGGGGTCTAAGGATGGGATTCTCACAAATTAGGACACATTAATCTCCAGTTCTAACATATTTATTACCTATGTTGTTTTCCCCCCCAGGTGAACCAAAGCAGATGATAACCAGAAACCGAGTGTGTCACTCTTTTGATCTGTTTAAAAAAATATTTTCACTATTTTGCATGCTAATTTAACAAGCCACCCCCCTATATATACAACTATGATATGTAATTCCATTTCATCATCTGACAAAGTGTGCATGCAAACGAAAGCTCACATCTTGAATAAAAAAATGTTGGTCTTAAAGGTGCCAATGGACTCTAACTTGGTAGTGTTGCACCCTGTTATGCCCCACCATCTTTCCCAGTTGCCCGAGGCACCAAAAGGAGGAGGGGCGGAACTGGTCCCATAAAGGCCTACCTATTCCGCCCCCAATGATCAATGTCACAATGCCTGTGTTGTACACTGTTGCCTCCTCCCTTCCAGGGGAGGCAAGGCAGCTCCCAACCCGCACATGCTGTTGGCTCTTCGGGTGGAGGTAAGCCATATTATGCCCTCACCATCTTTCCCAGTTGCTCCCTGTACAAACAGATAATGGTTTAGCTCATAACAAGAAGCACCTGCACGAGGAGCTTCCACTCATACTAAGGTGTGTGTAGGGGGGTTCCACAGATTTTTCCTTCAGCTGCAGCTTCCTGTGCTGTGTCCCATGCTGTTCTGAAGGCTCTCTTGACCCTCATAGCAGCTTTGGGGGAGCGATGCAGGGAAGATGGAAAAGAGCAGTTTCATGAGTTTTGCCTAAAATTCGATCTCAAAAGACCACAAGGCCAGTGTCAGATTAGCCTCGTTCTTTAAACTTACTTACAGTTTCTCTCTTCCTTCCTTATGAGGTACCCATGCCAAATATTCACATCATGAATCAGTATGATCATACAAGGTTGCCAAGAGATTCCAGAGTACATGGTCAAGATTTTATAAATGGTTTGAAGAATACTACAAATGAACAATGTAGACTTATAATTATATCTGGAGATATTTTAGATTAAATGTTAAATATAATCCAGAACATCTACAGAAAAGTTTTTGGTGATAAATACTGATTTCATAGCTATACAATGTAGCAGGTAATGTAATAGATATAATAAGAAGATACTTGTAACCCCCAATGTATATGTTTTTTGTGTGTGTTTATATGTTTTATGTGTTTATTTGTTTCTGTTAGTTTTATATTGAAATAAAAAATATTTACTGGGGGGGAAATACAAGGTTGTCACAACAGCAGTGCTGGTACACTACATGAACACAGAGTCACCACTCACTAGAGCTTCAGATTATGAAACTACCTCATGCTTAAATATAGAAAAGGGCAATCAGGTTGATTAAGGGGCTGAGAATCTTTCCTATGAGGAAAGGCTGAAGAGTCTGGGCATTATCAGTTCTGAAAAAGACTGCTAAGGGGAGACACGATGGAGATGTATAAACTTATGCATGGGATGGAAGAAGTGGATATTCACTGCTTCTTCTCCCTCTCTGATAATACTAAAACTCAGGGGCACACCATGGAGTTCTTGGAGAATAGGACAGAACAAACAAAAGTAAATACTGACTGACTCAATAATTAAATCGTGAAGCTCACTTCCAGTAAATGTAATGATGTCCACACGCATAATGACTTTAAAAGGGGATTAGAGCGATTCACGGAGAATACATCCATCAATGGCTACTAACCATAATGAAAATGTTATCAAAACCCTGTGGCTTGGAGTCACAGGTATCCCCACAAATGTACACCCCAATAGTCTAGAGTGTGTGTGTGTGTGTGTGTGTGTGTGTGTGAGAGAGAGAGAGAGAGAGAGAGAGAGAGAGAGAGAGAGAGAGTGTGTGTGTGTGTGTGTGTGTGTGTGTTCAGGTTGCAGCCGATTTATGGTGACCCCAGAGGGTTTTCAAGGCAAGTGATTAAGCAGAGGTGGTTTGCTGTTTCCTTCCTCCACTTAGGGACCATGTAAGCCAGTGTATACATGGGCTTGCCCTGGCATGTCCCTTCCCCAAAGGAGTTGGAAAGCAAGACAATGCTTCAGTTTTACTCCTTAGACTGGAAACACTGGAAAGCCTTCTCCTAAGGGTCCCTTTCTACTAGTGTAGGCGCAAGGGGTGCCAACATTTAAACTGGTCCCCCTGGCTGCTCCTTTAGTATCTGTTCAATACGCAAGTAATTACCAGGTGACCTTAGTTAATTTCATTCCCTGAAAAAGTTTCAGCTGCCCCTTTGCACGCATTGAACCTCAATTAAAGGGACAGGATATTTTCCCTCTACAGTGTGTGGCAGCCCTAGTAGGCCCAAGAACCAAGTTTGAGTCCAGTGGCAACTTTAAGACCAACCAAGTTTAATTCTGGATATGCACTTTTGGGTGCATGCACACTTCTTCAGATAGGCAAGTTACCACATGGAGCACAGTCCCTTTAAGACTGGTCACCTAATCGTAAACGTTTTGTATAACTGTGCCAATGAGAACAATAAGGCTTAATTTGCATTACCACTAGCTATGCATTGGGAAGGAATTGTCGGCTGCGGACCAGGGTACCGGAACTTGGAGCGAGAAGTTTGCGCTCCTGGCTGTTCCTACCAGCTCCTAACCCTCCCCCCGGCTCCAGGGCGCGAAGAGAATCTGGCAAACCTTGTAAATTGCTCACGACTCTGCAAGGGATTTGGACCTCTTGTTGCCTCTACAAGGGGGAAAAGGCAGAGCACGGCATCTCGGAAGCAAGTCACGCCCTTCTTTTGAACAGGGGCACTTTTTGCTCCATGGGAAGCCACTCTTTAAATGAGCCGGGAAGTGCCATCCAGGGCCGGCCCAAGGTGTTTCTGTGCCCTAGGCGAGGCCAGCTTGTGGCGCCCCCAGGCGATGCCAACCTCCCGGTGGAGCCTGGAGATCTCCCAAAAACACGCCCAGGAGGGGGGCACCGGGCGCCACAAGCTAGTCTCGCCCCTGCCTGAGTCAGGCCCAGCCAGGCAGCTTCTTCCGAGAAAGGGCTCGGGCCGGCCGGGGGCGAGGGTGAGTGCGCTTACTGGAACCCTGGGTGCCCGGGGGAGGGGAAGGCGCTGCCATCGCCCCTGCAGGCCAGGCTGCGAGCCTTGCTCCCCCCTGCCTGAGTCAGGCCCAGCCAGGCAGCTTCTTCCGAGAAAGGGCTCGGGCCGGCCGGGGGCGAGGGTGAGTGCGCTTACTGGAACCCTGGGTGCCCGGGGGAGGGGAAGGCGCTGCCATCGCCCCTGCAGGCCAGGCTGCGAGC